TGGCCTTCAATATTTAGGAATAAAAAAGGTGCTTGTTCGGTTAAGATTTTTTGTTCTTTGATTATTACATTCACATCTGAAATAGCCAAATAGAAGTTTAGGGTCACTTGCACCAATAACATATCTCAAGATACAAGTAATACCCAGCCTCTTCCTTTCAGAAAAGATTTTTTTTTTATTTTTTTTATTTTTTTTTTGTACACGCTTGTGGTACTTTGTTTTAAATTCTAAGGTGAAATGCACCAGAAGCTGCCCCTCTTTTCATTAAAATGCTTAATTTCTGCGTGTTAAGGTCTGAGTCATGAGGTCATGGAAGTGAGTAGCAAAACTTCCAACCACTTTCAGTAGACTAAGGCTCACTTCTGAATTACATCTTGCAGAACTCTGCTGCATGACAGGAGGTGGTTGTTTCGTCTTCTTATAGATATAACTGGATAGAAGAACTGCTCAGCATAGATTTACAGGTGTGCAGTGTGGGTGTATCCTGCACTCCGGAGGTCACATCAATGCACATACCTATATGTAGGAATCTATTCCCATTCCAATGGTGCAGGTTCAGCTACATGGGTATGTAAGTGTGCCTTCTCTGGCATATTCCTGCCACACAAATACAAGCAAATACATACTCATATATTTCCAGCTCCATTTGTGTACCAGACACTATGCATGGCTAACCACAGACAGGAACCCATGCAGAACTTTCACACTCTCTCCCTTTCTCAGGTATCTTTTTAGAAACTGGTTCCCACCTTCTCAGATTCAACCATGCTTTCTCAAATTGTTCTCAAGCTAAACAGCCTCCCTGAATTCTCACATCTCCTTACAATGAAACAGATTAATACAGAATGGCATTCTTCTTCTGGAAGTAACTTGCTTTCATTTGCTAAACTTGAAATCTTTGATAAAGTGTGCTAAAGGAGAAAAAAAAAACAAAAAAAAAAAAAAACTGGAGGGAAAGAGACTTGTTTTCTAAGAGCTACTTTAAAAAAAGATATGAGAAAATCAGCTCAGATGATGATTCACGGTCACATTTCACAGTATCTGGTAAAAAATAATAATGAACATTTCTTATCGTTTCAGATTTCCAGAACTTCTAGCTTCCATCATTTAATCAGTTTTTTAATCACTTTTTCCTCCAGTGCATTATTTTACTTGCAGTCTTCCACTGCAGCGAATCTCTGCCTTTTAAATAACCGCGAAGAGAGAAACAAGAGCTCCTCTCAGAGAAGCTACGCATAAGCATGAAGATCTGTGGGATTCGGGATTCGGTTAGGTACAATAGGAGTTTGCAGGAAGGTTGCCTACATGGAGCAAAAAGCCTTTGGATTGTGCCCTCTCGTGGCCATTCCTCATTCGGCACAGATAGCCATACCGTTAAACATACTGCCTTCCAAAAGCAAACTGATGAAATGATTTAGAGTCATGAGTGGCCCGTCCTTTTCCTCCTCCTGATCTGCCAGCCTGGCTTTATAGGAGTAGGCATCTTCCTAGGAAAAGCTGTGAGTGTGCACCTACGCATATCTGAAAATAAAAGTAGGTATTACGTGATCAAGGCAGTTCACCTGCAACTGTGTGAAGGGGTAGAAAAAGCAGAAGCAATGTAAATAGCTGCCACACTTTTCTTTCTTTCTTTCTTTCTTTTTTTTAACCCTAGTTCACAGTTCACCTAATGATAAGCCTTTGGATTTCCGTGTTTCTACACAGTAATTCCATCAACTTTCCAGGGGCTGACGTTAGCAACCCGTTTCATTGGCAGTTCAGTTGCCAGGATCAAATTTACTTGGAAAAATCCCAGGTCTGTTTAATCAGCTATCTACTTAAAATAAGGAAGGGCTTAGTAGACAACCATATTTTATGAGTGTAGGCTATCTCAGTTATAGAAGCTGTTGGATTGTTTGTCGCTAATACATATGACTCCTCTCCTCAAAATAATTTTTAAGTCCTTGAAGGAACCCACAGAGCTCTGGCACAGCTACCCTCATAGCAGAACTAATCGAGGTTAGTAATTGTAGTTTGATATGCAAGTAGAAAATCGTTTTCATGTTTAACTTGTAAGAGTGCCAAAGGACAGTAGGGTGCATTTGCAAACTTTTGCCCAATACAGTCATTAGTTTTGCAAAGATTTGCCTGGATTTGTTAGCTGTGAGAACTACCTGCCAACTATTTTGCTGATTTCCTGGCTGCCACTACACCTGTGCTTCAGACAAGTTCACTGCACATAGTTTCTCCCCTAATTGTCTGTATCCTATGCTCACCTGAATTTTAGTCTCTTTTATGAAATAGCAGTCTCGAGCCAGAGCCACGTGCACAAGGTACTGTCTCCTCATTCACTCAGTTTCATTGTATGGCTGAGGATACAGCTGATGAAGAATGGAAATACTACTTTTTTAATTAAGGCAAGCAGTAAACATGGCTTCTGAAAGGTAAGGGGAATAGCTGGTCTATGTCAAGTTATACTTAAAGGAACAAAAAGCCTAAAGTCTTGCTTCTTTTTCCGTGGACATTTATTTGATATAAGGCACTGTGCTTCCATTCATTTTCATTGATTTCCTATCCCCTCTTTGGAGACAGAGCAAGTTTCATATTAAAAACAGGAAGAACTGTAATCTAACTGTGAGAGTAACACACTCAGTTTTCCTCCTCGGTGCTTTAAACTTATTCCAGTTTCTACAGAGTGAACTCTGGTAACTGCTCACGTGGCTGCATTATGTCCCTGTCTTTTTTTCCTAATAATTCCTATCTGACACATCACTTGCCATCCTTTTGCCTCAATTTCCTCAGAAGAATAAATAATACTGCTTTAACATTTGAGACACAATACTGCTGGTGGGGAAGTGAGAGAGAGCCCAGGAGAAGTTTGCTCAAGTTATTGCAGCGCTTGTACCTGCAAGGCATGGTGGGTCCAGCAGTTTTAGTGAGACTCCAACTACGAACAGCCGCAGATAAGAAATGTTTCAACAGCTTGAAGTCTCTCTACAGACTGGAGTTAACATTGCCATGAAAACTAGAAACTTGGTTTCTAGGTTATTTCTTCCAGATAAAAGCCTATCAGGTACAGGATGTGGGGCTGGAGTAGCCTTCCAGGACAGGCTTGATGTGGAGCTGGAGAGGACAGCAAGGAAGGAAAGGCATAGGACCATAGCATATGTCCCAAGCATGCTCCATAACATAAGTCTTCTTAAATGAATTTGGCTAGCAGTGACGGGACAATACTATGTGAATCAAAGTCAGTGATGCACTGGTGTGGGGTTGTTGCAGCAGGGGGATCAGTGGCTGAACTATTGGCCAGCCTGTGGGCTTGGGCATGATTTTCACTGCTCACGTGGCCCTGAGAGCCAATGGCTTCAAGAGCCGCCGTTGGAGGGTGTCGTACTGAGTGGGCATATATCAAATTCCAAATTCCTTTGTGTGAGAGCTCAGGAGAGACAATAATGTGTTTACAAATGATTGGGACTCACACAGGGGAGAGAAACCACTGCTCATGCCATATGTGTTTCAGAACGAGCTGCTGAATACCAGGTGGGGAATCTGACTTGTAGGGGTTTCACTGCTTTTAAAAGCTCATTTCTAAACTAAGGTTGAGCCGCTCCTGCTTCTATGGACCACTAGGCACTGATGTCTGCCTGCTTTCTGAAGTGGAGGGGATGAAAAAAAAAAAAAAAAAAGCCAAAAAAAAAGCCTGAACTTGCATGCTGAAGGAACTGATAATGTGCGTATTGACAAGGACGCCAAAGGCGAGGGCTCCCTGTACAGTTGGAAATTGGACAGGCAGCAGGAATGTCTGCTCTTAAAAGCATGCACACTTCTTATGCACGGCTTCCCTGCAAACAGAACATCTGAGTCAACAGGTTTTCAGGACTGGAAACTCTGAGTGTTGTCTTAATTGTTTATACTGCTGCAGCAAACTTTTAAACAAAAATGCTTGGTGTTCCTTTGCATACTTTGCCTACCATATGCTGTACCAAACAAAACAATGACATTCTTTTAAAACTGTCTTGGCAACAGGAAAAATGCTTTGGCTAGACAGCATCATAAAAAGTTGCTGTTAGTTAGATGATAGAGTTATTGCAGGATAATGACATTGTTGCATGTATAAACATACATATGCAAACAGATACATATGCACATACACTGATTTAAAATGAGTTTTTGTCCTATTCATGTAGGAACAAGACAGTAAACTACAACTTTAAAGCTGTTTCCGATAGGCAGTTGATATGAGCCTTAGCCATTAGTTAGTAAATATCTATATTCTTAGCCCTTACTATATAACAGCTAGGGAAAAACAGTACTGTGAAAAAGTTCAAAATATAACCTATCAAGGTTGCTTTTTTTTTTTGTTTGTTTGGCAGAAACAGTTTAGGAGCAGAATTTTTTTTTTCTTTACAGCGTGCAGAAGTCTGCATTACAAATTGGATCAGCTACAGCAACTTGTCCAATTCTATTGAAGTCATCTGACAGTCCCTGCAACTCTTTATTGCCGAAGATGCTGTGTTAAATTAGAAAACAAAAATGCCCTAAAAGTTAAAGCTGTTTCATCTGATTTTATAACTTCCACTATAATTTTTAAAAGAAAGGGCAGCTTCTCAAGTAGTTTACAGCTCACTTTTCTGTCCTTAGAAAATCCCCAAATGCCTTGAGCCCTTTTTCTTTCACCATCAGCACTGCGATCCAGTACTTTAGTGCAAGTACTTTGGTTTCAGAAGCAGCCAGGAGCACCCCTTTGCAGCCTGACTTTCTGCTTGAGATTGGTTAAAGAGCTTCTTCCCTGTGTGTCTGCCTGTGCCTAGCAAGTGTAATGTGTAGGCAAGACTAAATCAGAAAAATCAAATTCCTTCAGAGTGCCCCCCACCCCCCCACCCCATCCCATTCGTCCTTCTCCCTTCCCCCAGGTCTCATCTCACAACCTCGCAGAAAGCAGTACTGCTGCAGAGAAGAAAAGAAGTTAATTGCAGTTCTGGCAAACAGGCTATTTTACAGCTTTGTTTTTAAGCACTCACCTGATTCTGCAAAAGTGATGATTTCTGAGGTTTGCTCCACAACTTCATTCATTTCTGCTCTTCTTCCAACATCATCCTCTATTTCCACATAGCCATCGTCTCCCACCTTTCCCACATGGAGTTTCTTGATGGCATTTAAAAGTGCTGCCTTGGGCACAGGCTGGGTGATGTTAGGTCTGTCCCTCAAGTGCAACATGTTCAGTATGTGCTTCTTTACTGCTTCCACCATCTCAGGCTGTGAGCTGGGCACATCCTTCGAGAGCGTGGTGAGGGCACATGATGGACAGTCAGTGACTGAACTGTGCCCCTCGGATCCTGGGGTTGGGGAACTCCTCACTATAATCCAGCAAATCACCAACAGAAATCCTCTCTTCCAAAGCAAAGGCATCCTGGCAGCAAAAGTTGTTGTGATTCCCTTTTTAAAAGGCCCTGCTTTTCCTCCCCCTTCACGCACAGTTTTTTTGGGGGCTGGTTTGTGTTGTTTGTTTGTTTGTTTGTTTTTCTTTCTCTTCAGCAAATTCTCTGGAACAAGAACCAAAAGTTTTCTGTGAAGTTTTGTTTGCAGGTTCCCTCTCTGAATGCAATAAGTGCTGTAGATGTTAGTGGCTGTCAGGGAGAAGAGTTCTGACTCTGTCTCAGAGTAGGAGAGAGACACAGAGAGAGGGAGAGAGAGGGAGAGGACGGATTGGCCTAAAGTGAGTGAGTGAATGGGAGAGGGAGGGAGTTTTGTCTGTGAGTAAAGGCTATGATTAGGAAGGGGGAGGAACAGGCAGGCTGGCTTCCTTATGCTCATTGCTCCCCTAACACACACCTCTCTTCAAATATCACTACTCAGGCTTTCTGCCCTCCTCTCTAAAATCTCTCTCCATTCCTGTAAATTTACTCTTCCTTTTTCCCAGTTTGACCCTTCTGGCTCCCTCCTGGCTGTCACATTCCCCCTCCTTTTTTCTCTCTTTTTTTTTTTTTTTCTTTTCTTTTTTTTTTTTTTTTTTTTTCCATTTGTTTTATTCCTACAACAGTATCACTGGCTTAACTAAACAGAGGAAACATGAATGAATGAAGAGTGAAACCTTTTATTAATGAGCACCTTGCTCTTGTCCTGCCTGGTATTGTTAGGGTTAGCAGGAGATCTTAAATAGCTTGTGAACAAGATGGGGATGACGGCAGGGGCTGAAAGTATTTTGGGCAGAACGCTATTCTGCCTTGAGTGGAAGAGAAAAAGATCTTTTCTGCTCATTTGTAAATGCTGGAGGTTATCAACACTGGCAGGAGATCTGACAGAAGCAAAATAATCCTGTTGTTTGGAGGGCTCTATTATACTTGATACGCTCTCCAGCTGCAGAATGCAAGCCAGGCACTGAGAGCACGAGCAGGAGGAGCTGGTAGGGCACAGGTCTGTGACATGCAAAGGTACTGCTCGGGAACCAGAAACATCCCTGCTGCTATGCTAGCCTGTGCCTAGAAGTTCTTATTTAGGTTTGGGATTAATCAAGTAATGTCTGAAAAATGCTTTGAAGACGGAACATATTACATGTCATCTGGCCAAATCGTACTTGCTCCTGACTCAAGCAAATCCCTCATCAGTGCCAATAATAATTCTGTCTGAGTGAAGACTAAGATCTTCTACATTTGGCCCATTGTTATTCAAAGGAACTTTTTGTTTCATTCATTTAAACCACAGAATCATAATATTAGAATAAGACATAATGAGTGAAAAGCAATCTTAAAGCACTGCTAGGAGCCAGAGTTCCAGTCCATGTCAGCAGAACCTTAGCAGCTCATTCCGACGAGGCTTCTGCCCTGCAATGGGAAGTTTCTCTTAGGGCTTCATATTGCCTCTAACCTCAGCAGCATCTCCGTGCTGCACCTTACTTAGCGAGGGTGAAGCTAACAAACTCCCTCACATTTGGACTTCGTAACAGAGAAAACTACAGCTGATGGAGTTGAGCTTCTGAGGTTCTTTCACACTGGACTTAAACTTTTACTGATTTTCTCAGAGCTTCTGCTTCTTTGGCATTTACCTTCTTTCGTTCTCTCTCTCTCTCACACACACCTCTGTCTTCTCAGGTGTGCTTACCTCCTTCCAAGCAAACATTCCACTTTCAGTACATTACCATCAACCACTGTATTTGAGTGGGAAAGAGTAATTTATAAAGATGAGCACTGTGAGGTCTGTCGTTTCCGTGAGATAGCTCCCGGCACGCGGGCAGAGAGACAGGCAAGGGATTGGAGTTGGAGAGAGTGAAGCATACAGAAGTAATTGAAAAATCAACCAAGTTTTACAAATGTTATATATTGCAAGTCCTTTTCAATTAAGGTATTTTATAAGTCTTTCACTGTTAGAAGGCATTCACAGTACACCCTCATCTGCGTTTTACTGACCTCAGTTGCTATACTGTTATATACTGTTACACTTACAGGTCTGTCAGCATTATAAACCCTGCAGCCATTCTTATAAACACATCTTTGTAACACAAACCTCGCTATAATACATCTAAATTTCTTGGATCTTGTGAACAGCCCAAAGTCTGTTGTAATTATATGAAGTCTGAAAGTCAGCTTGAAATAGAACTAAAAGTTTAATTGGACCAAAGAAAAAAAAAAAAATTCAGATGAAAATACGCATTCATGATTAGATGTACTAACAGATGACATAATTAAAGGAGTTATTTATAGTTCTAATACAGTATCTATCCCAAAAGTGTCTGATGAGAAGTAAGGGATAGGCATATTTCAGTTTAAAAGACAGACAGTGCACTTGAGTTGTTGCTGTGCGGCGTGCGCTGCTTGCCAATGTAACAGGTACACCTCTCACAGCCTGTTACGCGTAGGGATAGCGTAGCATGCCTGCATGCCATGCTGATGACAGATTTAATGCTAAAGCATAACTTTCTAAAAGCATTGTTTTCTGAATGCGATTTTGCTGGTACCACTGATAGAGAGTTCATTCATCCTTCCAGATATGCATGCACACACACATCTATGTTCACGTCTAAAAATACAGGGTTTGAATAAATAGAGAAATGCTGGTTCAGATTCTTTCCATAAAATTACCTGAGCTGCAAAGCTCTGCATATACATTCATTCAGCATCGCCCTAGCAATATGCAACAGCATGCACATGAATTGAAAGTTTTAGTTTTAGAAGAAAAAAAAAAAAAGCTGGTTTAAAGTTTTACCTCTCTAGTCCTCACTCTGAGAAGGAGACTGCTGTATTGTGCATTAAGAACTGCTGAAGTTCCTCTTTGTGGTACTTATAATGCGAAGCTTTATACTGTACTTCTCGTGTGTACACTCACATATAGTGTCTGTCAAGAGTAAGTGGGCCGGATCAGTGTGCTGGATTGGTTAATCCTGTTACATCAGCAATTGACTGTTTTTCCTGTATGAGACATACTTCTGGTAATTATCTAATGGAAACTCCTAATTGTCTAGCATGACAAAATATCGTGGATTCAACTTGTAGTGGTGATCTCTGTATCCATTTAAAGAATAGAACTTAAAATCAGACTGAATGCAAACACTATGAGTCAGGAAGACACTCTCCAACTTGTTTTATTGCATAGCTAGATATAGATATTATTAGATGTAGATAACACTGATTTAGTTCAAATGCAGTGTTTGCCAGATATTTAATTACTAGTTAGCAAATTGTTTGAGTCTGCTATCGTGCTAAGGATATACCAGATAATCTATCTGCAAATTTGGATTATTTTCAAATTCAGGAAAATGCATCTGGTTAAGAATCCTTTTGCAGAGGATACAATTTTTAGTTCACTCTTTGTACAAATATGTCCTTCTGTTAACTTAGGCATACTTTTAAAGTTCTTCAAAAATGAATCATATTGCTCATGTCCAAGTCTCATGGCTTCTTGACGTGCAGATTACATCACTATTAAAAACTATTTAGACATCTAAAAATAAGCTGCAATGAATTACAGGTGAAATAAAATCAACTTCAACTTCCATTTCAGTTTACATTAGCGAAACTCAAAAATTACCGCATGCCAATTAGGCAGTACAAAATTAATAGATGTACATAAGGTCACAAGTAAATTGAAAATCAATCTCCTTTCTTAAACACACATAATAACTGGTTTTATGTGGTACCGTTTATGACAAATGGCATGATCATGCAGTCTTTACTCATTCAAAACACCCACTGATTACCAGAAAATCCCCATCCTTCAGATTTTTTTTTTCTTGGCCTGAATCGTACTTACAATTGTATTTTTATGTCCTGTCGGTAATGCACATTTAATCTGTCTCAGAATATGACTGCTGTGGATCAGGCAAGAAAGATTTCAAATTTTCTTCTCCCTGATACCAGGGAGTACTCAGAGCAGCACTGATTCCAACCAAACTATGTGCTCTATTCACACAACAGCTTTAGTAGAATGAGCAAAAAATCGGGAGTTAATGGGAAACATATGACCAGATAGGTTGTTTTGTTTCCCAGTTTTTACATGCATATAATAAGTTTTCAGGCTGTAACGTGCCGTGGATTGAAGCCCCTTGAAACAGGTTTCCTTCGTTTTTTTTCTGCGGTCTGACACTGAGGGTTCCAGTTGTTGCAAAGAACATTTTATTTTTATTTTTCCTCCTTGAAGGACAGCGAGAGAGACACGCTTGAAGAAACAAATGGTGAGCATGCACGTACCTACTTCTGTGCAGGACAGTCACTTTTGTGGGGATCCTAAACCCAAGCTTTGACAGAGGACTCAGAACTGTGTTTTTCTCAGGACCAAACTGAATTTGGTTCTAACCGGCGTCCTCAACCCCTCTGAAATTAGTTACATACTGGTGGCACAGTGACTGCTGTCATTTGGCAGCAGACAGGCGCTCAGCAAGAGATCTTGTACTGCCTTGGTTTTATAGAGAGTGGAAAATCTGCCCCACCAGTACCAGAGCTCTGTACCCAAGCATCAGGCTGGGGGCTGCTGAGGGCTGGGGTCCGGGGAGGGTGTGTGGTCTGTGGCAGAACCGGAGGGCTACAAGCAGAGCACAGCAACCGTGTGCGTGATTTATAGCCAGGATAATTTCTGAAAGGAGATTAGGAGAAGTGAAAAGCATTATTCATTTCAGAGCATGCTCCTTGTTGCCTCGGGGAATTCGTGTATAGCTTTACCAAAGGCCTAATGAAAGCTTTACTCAGTGACTAATTTTTTTTTCACACCTATTTCTCTCTTTATAAATATTTTTCTCCCCACCCCTCCACTTCTTCTCATTTTGTTGAACACAGCAACACCTGCTGGCAGCGGTCCGGGAGTACTGCTGGAAAGGCCCACTGATCTGGCTCTTCAGACCAGCTGCCATTAAGCACTGCCAAGCCATATTAATGAGCTGCCTCTATTTTTACCCCTTCCTGCCAGAAAGGGCAATTGCTCTTGGGAAAGACTTCAGCTGTTTTGTTGGGCTTTTTTTTTTTTTTTTTTTTTTTTTTGTTTTGTTGTTTGGTGGTTTTTTTTTTTTTTTTTTTTTGTTTTTGCCTCTTTTCTGCCTTTATTTTTTTTTTCTAGCAGATTCAGAATCCAGATAATCACTGTTCATTTCGTGAAGTTGGGATTTCTAATATCAGTTCTGATGCTGCCAGTTGAGACCACATACAACATCAGAGTGACACCAAGCCTATCTAGCTGGGCTTGTAGGCACGCTTCTGTTCCTTGCTGGATCAGAAATAACTAAAGGAGTGGGACAGAGAGAAAGGTTAGCGTAGCAGCAACCTGCTTCTTATTTCCTAATTGTGGATTTTATCCTACAAACCATTAAAAAGGATGGCCCGGTGCCACTTCATTATTCACCTAGTGGAGGTTGTGTGATTTACTGGCTATTTTGGAATTCCAAATTGCACACAATAGCATTGGTGTGCCTCCATTCCTGCTTTGAAGAGCAGTCACTAGAAAACACTTTGGCACAGATTTCTGTGCAAATCAGCTGGAATTTCACTCTGGTGTACCTTATTTTACTGTAATAACAACAAAAGATGCGCCAGAAACTTATATTTAGAAGTTTTATGTTTCCGCTTTTATGTATAAGGACCAATTAAGCCTTGTCTTTTTGCTGCAAACTCTAATACTTCTGTGCTGTTTGGAGGGGCCAGTGTTTTCAATCATAATTAGTGAGCCGGTCAAAAAATAAAGTTCATTTGAGGATAAGAACTCAATCTAGAGGGTGGGGTAAATAATAGCTTTCAACTTCTTGCCTTTTTTTTTTATACTAATGGATGACACTTTTCTCAGGGGGGCAGAATAAGTAAAAATGTTCTGATTGAAGTGATTCTTGTATAAAGTCAGTCTGGCTGACAAAAGCAAGTATGTTTTCTTTCTGTCTGAACTATACCTACATCTTCTGCTATGCAATTCACTCATCTTCCTTTCCAATCCCTGAACAGTGAGTTATTTCTTTAAAAGGGATATTTTATGTCTGTCTTATTTTAGCATATGTGTGGCCATTTCACACTTAAAAAGCAGGAGACACGAATACACAAGCCAGATGATGGTACTGGTATGAGATGATATGACACAAATTGTGTGTTCTGTGACCAGTGCTTGTTTAAAGCATTTCCCGTGGGGTAAAATCTATGTACAACGAGAATTTTCTCCAATCTGCAGAGAGAATGGAGTTAAACCACAACTACATGAAATGAAGTGGTTCATAAAACCTAGTGTCCTGCCTTGGTGGCTTGATAGGCAGATTTTTGTCACATTACTGGGGTAGTCTTTTTTTCCTTGAGAAGCAGCTCTGTGTCTTGAGTGATACTGTCTTCAAAGACATTTCCAGAAGATGTGGTTGGAGTCACGTCAGTGATTTAAATCACACAGGGAGGAAGCCCCAGATGACCAATCCTGTTTGGTATCAAGGTGGGTGAAAAATCTATGGCTAAAGTTGAAGCAGCATTTAACATTTATAGGTAAGTTAAAGCTAATAATGAAAATTAGATTGCACTAAATTAAGTTGCACAATGAATCATCGCAGCCATTCCTAATAACAATTGTTCTTAGACCAGTGGAGTTTTGTCAAGAATAATGGATGTCTGTTTCTCTTACAAGTTCTGAGTTCTCCGTTCTGTATTCTTTTTACTGCAGCTAATCACAGTGTATTGAATGCAAACTCTTATCTTTCAGCTTTTAGAGCCAATTCTCAATGCCACTGAAGTTAACACTGTCTGTGGGACCAGAAGTCAGCTGAATTGAACTTTGACTTTGAAGATTAATATTAACCATTGAGAGATGGAAAGAGAGACTAGAAACCAAGGCTTAGGCAAAAGCTGTTCAGCTGATGTGCTTCTTAAAGTAATATTGCCTGTGGGTTTCAGAAAAACCTGCAACTCTTTCTGTAAAAGCAGGGCTGAACGTTTAGTTAATGTAAATTGAAGTAGCCCTCCTCAGAGGGCTTTGTCTCTTCAGAGACAGAAAATCTGAAGTCTTTTTTTTCTATTTATCTTCCACGTATCAACGTGTATTTTTTGGCTTGTTCTTTAAAACATAGATACCAATGGTTGTATTGTAAGAAAGGCACGATTTCATCTTGCTTTAGCTCCCTATACGACAGGTATGCATTTTTTACTGTTTTGTGTGCTTTTAAATCTGCAGATGAGTGGGAGAGAACTGAATGAAGCTCATGAGCTGGCCATTTGCTTTGAGTTGAACTCAACAAGAGATTACTCTGGCAAATCTTCCGAAGTAGTCATCGTGCACAGGCCATTGGGAAAAGTCGTAGCAACCCACACTGATGGATATTCCCTCTTTGTGAGAGTGACAGGTAGAGAACTGGCATAAGTGAAACACTGAGGACACCGACATGTGCCTTGAAGAGGACGTGCTGATCTTGTGCATCGCTGCAGCTTTTCCCACTGTGAATCCCCAGTAGAACAAATCACCACGGAAAAGTCAACATATCCAGAAGTGAAGATGGTAAGGAGAAGCCTGACTGCTTACAGCTTTTCCGAGCAGAGTATTAGATGGGGTCCTGGGAAGTCTGGATTCTCTACTCTTGATTGCTGGGCCCTTAGGACAAGTCCATAACTTCCCCATCTGCAAAATGGAAACAAAATGATGGGGAGTACTGAGATCAGTGGATCAGGAATAGCAAAAAAAAAAAAAAATCATTGCAGTTGCTTGGTTTTTCAAAGTGTTTTGGGATCTGAAGGAAGGAAACTGTAGATGGAAGCAGGGTGTGGATAAGCACACAAGCTCAGCTGATGTCAAATGAAGTGCAGTCAAGGCTCCCAGTGTGTTTTTGCACTTCCTTGGTACCTTTGGAAGTATCCACCAGTGCTTGTTCCTCAGGCAGCAGTGACCTTCTAAGGGAGGCAGTTTCAAGCCCTGTGAGCCTGCCTTGGCTCTCACAGAGCAAGAAACCACAGATACCTGTCTATTTATTGAGAATCTCAATTTGCCATTAACCAGCAAATTCAGAAGCTCCCTAACTTGAAATGCTGTTCAGCTAAAGCACATAATATGCTTTAGCAATATGCAGTGAACAATGCTGCGCTGTATCCTTACTAACAGCACCAGATTTAATTTTGGTCATTCAAGATCACTTTCAGACTCGCGTCCAGCACAGGCATCTAACCTCTGAGGGAGGGGGTTCTGTGATTATTTTCATTAGAAATTAGGAAGTTTCTGAGAGTGTTTCACATATGCCAAGTGAGAGAAGTGAAATAAACACACGTTGCTTGCTAATGTAATTAAGTTGCCCCCCTTCCCTATAAGCACACGTACCTTTTACAAGTCAGAATTTCCACATTAAGATGAAAATCTAAGTTCTGAGAACTTATTTCAGAATTTTCCCCATATCTAGGAGTAATAACACTTGAGATCCTTGGTAGCACTGAGGCTGATCCTTTGGAGTGGACGCAGTGTCCCCACATCTGGACTGAATTCCCTAATCCACTTGCACTAAATTTTCTCATGTCTTTTCATGTTTTGTAGTTGAAGCACCACGCTTGTATCTGAGTGCATGTGGGAGGGACAGCATCTAATTCAGTACCTGCTTGCTCAGCGTCCTTATCTACAGACTTCAGTGTGCACACAAAACATGGGGCAAGCATGTTTATCAGAGCGCACAGAATTGTACCTGCCAAGCTCAGAGATCTCTTACAGGTGCTTTTAAAATGGGCTTTAAAATCATCCTGTAATCACTGGGAGAACAGCGGGCTGATATGCAGCAGTGATGGCCAGTTGCCTAGAATATCAGTTCTTCTTCAATAACTTTCGTATGCCAACGATGAACTTATAAACAGTTATTTTCTTTATTCATTGTCTGCTTATTGGTGTCATGCCCTCGTGATGACTCCTGCTAAAAGGGGTGACATAAGGTAGCTCAGAATAAAGTTTTTGTGTGCAAACAGGGCTCATCTGTGTATCCATGCACACATTTTTTAATTGCTCCTTTGAAGCTGTCCATTCAGAGGCAGTAACCAAGCATCTAGGAAGTATAAAAACAACAAAGAAGTGTTCAGATATTTCTCATGAAGCAGATTTTTTAGTTAGTTCTCATTCTTTTTTCTTCCCGCTTAAACTGAATTTAGCTCCTCTGATCAGAGCCAAATTGACAGCTTTGAATACTAAAGTAATCTGCTTGCTCACGGGAGAATTACAGCAGGGAGAGCCACAGGACAGCTTTCCTCACCCACTCGCAGAGGCTGGTTCATCCCCACGGTCCAGCAAGCTAACGCGACACTCAGCAGAGCTGCCTGATGCTGTGACTTGTTCTGAGTGGGGACTGATCTGAGAAAAAGGAATCCTTTCATACCAGTCAGCACACAGGCTGGAAGTGACGCTCAGGGCAGTATTGCTGAGAGGTGTCTGCACCTTAGTTCTCTACAATTATCGATGCAATGACCAGTGGAAGTCCGAAAAGCCAACAGAATGTGTGCTTTTGTCAGGAGGGGTGTGGAGAGTAAGACAGAAGGCACTATTTTGCATTGGTACATACAGCCTGGGTGCACCTCTGACATGGATGTTGTGTGCAGTTCTGCTTTCCCCATCTCAAGAAGAACATAGTGGAGTCAGAGAAGAGGCATTAAAATGGTAATGGTAGTGGAGCAGCTGCCTAATGAAAAAGAGTAAAAGGCAGAAACTCTTCAATTTGGAGAGAAGGCTGAGGAAGGCACGCTTGGGATTTAGAAAGTCATGAAGATGGCAGATAAGGTGAATGTAGAACTGTTATCCACCAAACCCTGCAGTGCTAGAACCAGGGGGAACTCGTTGAAACTAGTAGGAAAAGATTTAAAACAGATACAGTGCTTACACAATGGAGACTGAACTTCTGGGATTTGTTGCCACAGGAGGCTGTGGGGCAGACAGTATCAGCAGACTCAAAAAGGTCCATAAATAACTACCAGAGGGAATAGGCAGGGACATATCCTTTAACATCCTTAATACAACAATTGCAGATGCTGGGGAGTTTGAAGAGAAAGACCCACAGAAAGTGGCCAGGCTCACATTCTCTCTGCACAGAGCATTTGTTGTTGGCTTGAGAAAAAGAGGGTTAGATGGACTACTGGCAGGACCATGCAAGAAGCTTCCTCATGTGGGACTGAGGCTCCTGTCTCCATGCCACGGAGAAGAGAAGAATGCTCCTGAAGGTGATTCAGAGCAGAACCTACCTTTTCCTGCCCTGAATCATCTGTTAGAAAACCCTATCTCTCACCATCAATTTCACAGGAAATCTACCCTAGACAAAAGTTAGTCCTGTGAATAACCATCTTAGTCACAACTGACACAGGTTGGATTTGAACTGCTAATCTGGAACTGAAAAAAGTGTCATATACCAAACACCAGTTGTTCCACACACCCCCACCTCTGGTCAGTTCGTTGAGGGTTTTTAAGAGGAAAAAAAAGTATTAGAGTTCAGTACTATTAGAAAGATTATAGGCTGACTATGATCACATCCAATTGGAAGCATTTCCTCAGCCAGTGATGCTGAAACAGTACGTCAAACTCTGGTTAAGATGAAAAGTTAAAAAAACATCTTTTGTATATGTTAGACTGCTTTCTCATAGTCTCAAAGCTGAATCACTGGGAAAGACTGCTTCTGCTGTCTAGCTGTGAAGCTGTTCTGAATTGCCCAGGTATGGCTGGATGTCTCAATGTTTGTGGGAAGCCTGCTGCATGTCACCATCTGGAAACAGAAACAGCAGGAGAGGCTGGAATTGCAGTAGGACATCTGAATCAGAAAAGGGAGGTGAAAGTCAGGAGGTGAGCGTTCCACACAAAGCTACCTCAGTAGCTTCCTTTGACCACTCCATCTCATAGAAATGAAATACCTGCTTGTACGACACAGAATAAGCTGTATTTCATTACAAAATATCCACATAGAATAAGCTGCTTCAACAAGCAAATACAGACATTTTTATATTACTTGGAGTTGGAGATGCTGGGAGACATTTTCAGTCATCAGCTGAAAATCTGATATCTCCAGGAAAAGGAAAGTTCCAAAGCATATTCTGGGATTCAAAAATGGACTGAAATACAGTAATAACTGCACAAAATTTAAACCTGTCTTTTAAAATGTGTTTGAAATTCAAAGCATCAGGCTCTCTGGTAGCATGAATTCCTGGTACTCAGACAGTACGTGACAGGCAAAAATCTTCGCAGAAATCTACTGATTAATCTCTGGTATAGGTAAGTGTTCAAACTGTATTTGTTGTCTTTCTTTTTTAACTTGGAAGATACAAAGTGGAAGTTTGCACATAGCACTTGGTTGGCTGCCCAGGACTTCCAAAGAAATCCATAGTTGGAAGGATGGAAAAGGGAACCTGCCATGGTTTCCAAGCTTTTCTTCCCGCTGGCTAAAATATGTTGCTACCTGCTTTGGAACTGAAAAACCACTCCACGCTGTGCAAAACCTCCAACAGAAAATGTTTAGAATATGGTTAACTGTTTTATGATAGAACATTTCTGGAGCCTGGAGAAGCCTCCATGGTAACCTGACAGCAGCTTTCAGTATCTAAAGAGGGGCTACAAGAAAGAAGGGGACAGACTATACAGCAGGGTCTGTGGTGACAGGACAAGGGGAAACAGTTTCAAACTAAAAGAGAGGAGATTCAGGTTGTATGTAAGGAAGAAGTTTTTATAATGAAGGTGGTGAGGCGTTGGCACGGGTTGCCCAGAGAGGTGGTGCTCCATGCTCCATCTCTGGAGATGCTCAAGGTCAGGATGGAGGTGGCTCAGAGCACCTGTCTCAGCTATAAGTGTCCCCATCCATTGCAGGGGAGTTGGACTAGATGATCTTTAAGGGTCCCTTCCAACTCAATGACTCTATGACTCTATGATTTCAATATCTGTATACTTTGCATCTCAGTTTCTGGCTGAGCCTGCACGTATTACTATTGGGACCATTATTCACTGTTTAGTTCAGAAAATCCCTTTTGTTTCTCTCACAAGATGTCTATGAGAAAATGAGAAGCACGGTGTTATTAGTGTTTGGACAAATAAATTGTTGGCTTGCACACTCCATCTTTTGTTTCTTTCCTTTTGTTGTTCAGAAAGGGCATTTGAATAGGCTCAGCTCAGGAAGGTTTTAGCAATATGTTGTCAAACCTCTAGCTCCTGTTTGGAACTGTTTTCTCAGTGCACACAACACAGAGTTGCAAGCGGTGTCATATGCTTTTACACTGTCAGTGCAAACGCTGTTCCCTTCATGTGAAAAAGTTAACGTGACAGAAAGAGTCCAAAGTATCTGACCTTCTCTCGGAGTACCTCACAGTTACATTCAGGGCTGCACAATGCGAGTGCTGTTACTTTACAGGGGTAAGAATTCAATTTACACTGGCAGTGCTTTCACAAGAGTATTTCAGTTCAGTTAGTAAATATTTCCAGGTGGCCAGGTCTAATTTTAGGGAGGGCAAATTTACAAAGGCTAAGTGGCAGGCAGGGTTTCTATAAGTCTCTATCAGTTTGGAAAAAGAAAACGTAATTAAACACAGCATTCTTCACAAGATTAACTTGATGCTCAGCATTCTACATTTCATGTCTAAACTTTTATGCTCCAAGGACACATAAGTTCCTCTTATAATGGCATTCTGAAATTAGTAACGAAAAAAAAAGTTGTTACATGTCGGCAGACAAGGCAGAAAATGGAGATGATGCATACAGATTTATGTTGCAAAGGCAGAGGGGTAGTTTTTGACTGGTTTTGAGTTTGCTTGTGAGAACAGAGAAAGTTCAGCGCTTGCTGCAGGCCAGCCAAAAAGTCTTTCACCTGTAAAACGAAGCAGAAGAGCAAAATGGTGGTTGTCATTGCAAAGCTCCACCAGAAGCCTCCTTTCAGTTCCAAGGGCTCTTTGTGCCCTGGGATGCTGTTAGCCCCTTGTTAGTCATTGCTAGCAAAAAAAACTCAACGACACACAACTAAGTTTGGTCAGTTTGCTCAGCTGCTGTTGATGTCACTCCTTGCCCACTAAGAGTAAGTTACTGTAATAATCCTCCCTGTTTATTAATCATAGCTCTGGAGAAAGCAAAAGTTGGCTGACATCACTTCTCAAGAGGACTGGCTAACTCATGCTCAGCTTTAGTCAGCTTTGCTATAGCATCTCTCGCATGTCATATGAAAATAATTACCACCTCACACTTTCCATGTCTGACCAATCATCCTCTTTTTTTCCTCTTTATGAGGTTACAGACCTTTGCCTATTTCAAACACCTGCTGAAGGTGTAATCTATTTAGAGATGAAGGAGAACTTTTTTAACTGGAAGCAGGGACATTCCAGGAGATCCTCATAGTATGACGCCACTTGCCATATAAAACATTAGTGACATATATTATAGTGAAAACATCATCTTCCAAAGTGTATTAAAATGCTTCAGACATAGGCCATCATAGTCTGAATGCAGAGTATTCATTGCACTAGGCAATTTGTGCTCTACTTTTGCTTTGAATAGCATGAAATTTTGCCTGCCTGTCTACATATCTTTATAAGAAGGCTGATAAGCCAAATTTCAAGGGTAATTTCTTCATTGTTGCTTTTCTGAAGGATATTTAATTAGTGATTTGCTAAGAAGCCAATGTCTTTCTGTCTTGCTGACCTTGCTGTATTCCACCCAACATCGAGGAAGAGGTAGAGTCTACCCTTGGCTTTTAACTCCATATTTCAGTGAGTTGGAGGCCAAAATTCCCACTTCCCACTTTGAGAGAAGTTAAGTAGGGAGAAGTTCTTAGCCAGACAGGGAGAGCTATTTCACTTCAGCAAGTGACTCTTTCTCACTGGGGAAGGAAATAGAGATAAGACATTGAGTTAAACAACTGTCACCTGTTATGGATCAGGGAAAAAGGCAAAAAGGGACAGTCATTTTTATCTCAACAAGTCACTTGTCTCTCTTGAACTTTTCAGTGTTTCAGCTTACGTGAGATAACTATGGTGATGGTCTGTTTTGCTTTCCAAGCACTGGAAATTTCTTAAAGAAAGCATCACAGCATGATACAATTGCAGAAGAATAGATTTAACCTTATATGATACAGTCTCATCTCTTACATGATGCAGGATTTCAGTCGCTGATACCTGTGTTCCTATCTTTCCTATGAGACTTCTATGTCCTCTCATTTACAAGGATCCTAAAGACCAGGTTCAATAGCATAAAAAGCTCCTAAATTCTCAGCAGAATTATTTGTTGAATCTGATTAAAAGAAATGGAAAATCAGGCACTTTTCTTGGTAAATTACTTGGCCTTCATTTGTAGGTTAATGCACCTTAGGCCCAGATTAAATTCAGCTAATGTCAGCTTCCAGGCACTGTATGTTTTCATGGATTTGTCTTCTTATGAGAGGTGTCATTACTGTCTGATACCCATTCTTCCTGTAAGGATTGTGAAACCATCATTAAAATAGCATCTTAATATTCTCTTTGGAAGGTGAATAAGTTTGAGCTTCTTAAGGTTATTACCGATTAAATAATGTCAGTCTTGTATTTTTCCTGAAACTTTTCTGATTTCATGCTCTTGCTTCAAAAACGCTTCTTTTCTCTTTTTTTCTTTTTTCTATTTTCTTTTTTCTTTCTTCTTTTTCCTTTTTCTTTTTTTTATGCGTGTGCATAGTGCCATACACTGAGGAAACACTGGTTTCTTACTGCTTTGCAGCACAGTATAAAAAGCTTTGCTCATTTCCTCTATTTACTGTAACCTCTTAATTTGTTTCACTGTTTCATCCTGTATGGCATGTATTCTTTGTTGAAAGGTGTACAGCATTGCTCTCCATAGTTCTAAGACACCTGTTATGTGCTTTAACAGAACACAGAAGCTAAGGCAGCCTGTAGGATGGGTCTCTTGTACAGATCATTGTCATCTGAGTACTCTGCCTAAGTGGTCTGCTGATATAGTTATTTATTGTGGCACCAAACTTTCATCACTTCTAGCTGTGGCCAGCAGTGATTTCATTTTTATTTTCCATATTATGTTCCCAAATCACTATACTGAGTAACACCGAGCCTTCCGGAGACCCAGTGGAATTGAAATGAAGTGCCCTACTCTGTGCAATTCTTCATGAATAGTCCTGTTTATCAACTGTTAGCTAGATACAAACCCACCTCACGTCTCCTCTGTTGGTTTTAGCACACTGATTTTGCGTTCCAAACGCTAATCAGTATTCCATGAAATCATGCAGATTGGTGTTTCATAATGGTTTTGTGCGTGTGTTTTGTTGTTGTTTTTGCTTTTCAACTTAAGAAATCTGGAATCGGTTATTTTGCCTTGTGCAGTGTCAAAGTGTCCAATGTGCAAAGACAATTTTCATCCCATGTACTTGTTTGAAACTGTACAAACCTAGCATGAATTAGGCAGATCTTTAAGAAGCAGACAGATTGCAACGAATCTAAGCCTTTTTTTTCTAAAAACACTGAATTTTCTCTTTCTTTTACAAATATTAAAAGCCAACACTAAGTGATAAATGAGCACCGGATCCAACTCCTTCAAAAACGCTGGGAAGAAAATAACTGGAAATGGTGAAGGCAAATAGATTACGGAGAGCAACATCTGTAGTCATCGCTGCAATACAAAGTTGTCCATTATGACATAGGCACGCTGTCTCCCATTTTCTCTTTATGGAAAAATAAAGGACAGAAATATTTATCATGCACATTTGCCCTTTTCTTATTGCTGACAGAAGAAAAATTCCTAACAGAATTGGAACTGCTGTACTGCAGGTGTTCCATTTTTGCCTGATTACATACTACTTGGGACAAGAAGTGTATATTGTTGCAATTAACGCTTACTGATCATGATGTTTCATTAGTACTTTTAGCTTTCTTTATCAATAATTTGCATTTCTTTTTTCTAATTTATGTTCACAGAAATAGCGTGCTGCTTCATGTTTCTGTATATCAGGTTTTAGTAGATAATAAGGGCTTCTGGGAGGGGGGGGGGGGTGAAATTTCTGACTAAAGAACACCTATAAAACACAGCAATTTGGAGGAATGCGCATTACTATAGATAAGGGCCACTTAATATCATGTCAAGCAGACCATGCCTAATCTACAGTCTGCTTAGGTTAACCACAGGCTGCCATAACGCTCAAATGTCAATCTTGTTCAAGGCTATCTGAATGATATTTAATGGTATTAATCAGGTTATTTGTCATATATATAGGAATTTGCCTAATATTCTAGTCCAGTTTGTCTTAGAATACGCATAAAATATTGAACAAGGGTGAGTTGGTAAGCCTGCCCCAGTATTACCTTGCATCTTCCTCACGGTGGTAATAAAAGAACAGAGCAATAAGCAAAGAAACATCACGTTGTAGTGTCTTGGTAGACGAGGCAGTATTGATTGGCTTCATTTAGCCACTTTGTATAATTACAGATCATCAAGACTGCCTCTTTAATTAAGATGCACCAGGCTAGTAACAGCAGCCATCGATGTGTACGGTGTCTTGTTGAACATTCCATGGTCACACACACAGAATCACAGAATCACAGAATCACCCGGGTTGGAAGGGACCTCAAGGATCATGTAGTTCCAACCCCCCTGCCTAGCAGGGCCACCAAACATACACATTCAGATCAGGTTGCCCAGGACCCCGTCCAACCTGGCCTTAAACACGTCCAAGGACGGGGCATCCACAACCTCCCTGGGCAGCCCGTTCCAGGGCCTAACCACTCTCCTAGTAAAGAACTTCCCCCTAACATCCAACCTAAATCTTCCCTCCTTCAACTTAAAACCATTTCCCCTAGTCCTGCTGTTATCAGCCCTTTTGAAGAGTTTACTCCCCTCCTGGGTGTAGGTTCCCTTCAGGTATTGATAGGCTGCAATGAGGTCACCCCGCAACACATTTGTTATAAGAGTCCCCTTGCCCAGAGCCTTGTGTCTCCTGTTAGTTTCATCCTGTGACATCTGATTTTAGATCACTTTTGAGGGAGCAGCCCTTGTGGAGCATCTTCGCCTGAGACCCTTCTTTGTAGCACAGGTTGAGGGAGGCCCCTCTGTATCTACCAGAAGTACTGGTGCTAAAGTGCAGACTGCCACTTT